TGGAGGACGTGCCTTTCGTCGCACGTAATGCTTTTTGGTCTTGTTTTGCGAGCACATTATGCGAGTGTGTTTTGTTATTGCAGGCGATTTCGAGGAAACCACTGCCAATGAGTTTTCGAATGTGCCCACCATCTCTCCTTTTCTAGCGCATGTTGGAAATTTGCCGCTTGACGCGACTGAGTCGGATTTAGCAGACGTCTTCCACAGCTTGAAAGTAAGGTTGTAATTTAGATTCTTAAAGTTCAGTGATTATTTTCTTTGTGTGGGAAGGCGAACACGTCGTTGGACTTGGTCGTAACCTTTATAACTTCGTTGTCGATCCTTCCTTTGCGCCAGTTTTCACTCACTGGCGAATTTTTATTAATTCACGCGTACAGCGTCACGATCGAAAACTCATTTTGGCCGTTGGCTTGCCAAACTAAGCTACAGATTATTAATTTTTGGACCGTTAACTTGTATGAATTGTTTGGCTTAAATCTGGCATCGAGCGTGTGCGCATGTAACGGATGTGCTTATTTATCTAATTACGATCTGTGGCCTAGAACCTGGTCGTATTTCTGAAGGTGAACGTTGAAGTTCAGAAGCGGACGGTACAAGGCATATTCGCGTACAAATAGGGATTACCGTGCCGATAGTTTAAGCATGTGATTAGGATCTCACACGACAGCCTCGCCATACGCGAGTAAGGCAAACGACGACTAGGTAGCTTCATCGTCTAGTATTGTCAAGTAATACATGACTCCTCAAAGACCTCAATCTGAAGTATCATTTCTAACAGTTAGAAATCATAAATCGGGGTTACCGTACTGTTTAAGCACTGTTAATCGCAGATAACGATGAGGAAACAACATAACCTCCAAGACCGGATTTCCCGAGGTACTGCATCATCTTGTTCCTAGTTGACCAGGGCGCCATTTAAGCAGGCCATGTCTACAGCAATTTTTGATCAGGAAATAGCTATCTCAAAGATTTTAGCGAACATTACAAGTGTTAATCAGCCTACAGGTTTGCTGAGATGCTAAAGATGGCGATGACACACGGTTCCGTTATATTTGAGCACCTGCATTGCCAGATGCATCTCGCGTCATTTTTTTTGCTACAGTTACCTCACCTTCATCACGAACGATGTTTCAGGAGACTGGTACTCCTCATATATTCTATCACTGAAACGGCATAGGTAGTTGGTAAACCGGAGTGTATAAAATAGTGCATGACTCCAGGCGAGGAACATTATTCATTGGGAAAATCTTCCGAAGGTGCTGTCTCCTATCTCGAAAATGATAGCTGGCTCCGAAACCTGATGAATATGGCACGGGTCGTATTGTTTCAAATGAAAAAAATATGCTACGGATATTCAGAGTAGTTAAAATAATCTATGTTTGAATTGTGTAATAACGCGATAATTTATACGTGTGGCTGGATGTTTCAAAGATGTGAGGTGTCGATTAAATTTGGCCATTATTTAGTATTTTTCTGAACCGTGATTTAAGTTTCTGAGCATCATTCACGCGTTTCGATATTGTCCAAAAAACAGACATTCGGGAGACCCTTGGTGTACAGCCTCTGCTTCTCCAGGTTGAGAAGTCACAGCTGCGATGGTTTGGCCATGTGTTGTGAATGCCTGCAGAAAGGAGGGTGAAGCATCTATTTTTTTTGCCCAGCCGACCGATAGAAGACCCAGGGGACGGCCAAGATTAACCTTGTGCAGATATGGAAATAATTTGCTCTAGATTACGGTTGTCTTATGCCGAAGCTCAGACTCTGGCACAGGATCTTGAATGCTGGAAGCACTGTCTTGCGTGTCTGCCTCCGCGACCCGAAAGGAGGAGCGGCCATGGAAGATGAACATCTTTCACCCCACTGTAGTCAAGAAAGTCAGATTTATTGTTATGGTTCGTAGGAATTATCGACTTCTCAAATTTCCAAAACATGAAACAATAATGAACGATTTAATTAAATAAATAAATAAAAGTTGAATAAAAAGGGAATGAAATACAATGTACAAGAGTACAAGGAT